GTTGGCAATAGCACCCAGGTTTTCCAAATTAGCTTGTCTTCATTTTTCTTTGGTCTGCAAAGACTTCTTCTCATTAGCTGCCTTCTGCTTTTGTTACATGATCTCCAAATCCCTCTGCCTTCTCTGAGAGGCAGTCAAACTTTCCTCTTTTCTTTTTCCCTTGCTAATCTCCTGGGTTTTCTTCAAGTTTTTCTGGCGGGCAAGTTCTCTCTGATTTCCACGGGCCATCCTGACAACCGATCCGAGGCTGGAAGAGACGAACTAGGAAAATCAGCGGTTCTCTGGCGGCGTCATCCAGGTGGCGGTCTCCTAATATACCCAGCGCGCCGGCCCCTCGCAGGGCAACCCATTATTCCTTTTTAAATGGATATATCAACTGTATACTTTATCTTTAAGTAGTATGTATTGATATGTTAAGTTTTAAAAAAACTTGACATGAAAGTATGGATCACTAGATTCATTTAAAGAAACAGCAGTAATTCAGTTATTCAGTGATGGCTCCCGGGACAAAATAAACTGAGCAAAATCTCTGGGAGATAGTCTGGCTTCATCTTTCTCAGGTGTTTACAGGATAAACCACACTTACTCCATTCCTGAGGTTCTGCCAGCAGTGTCATGAAAAATATTCTGCACAGCAAGCCAGCATATCTGCAGAACGGAATGGGCCAGATACGGAATATTTTGTAAGAATGTAGTCGGGGTTGTTGTTGTTGTTATGTGCTGTCGAGTCGCTTCAGACTCATAGCAGACCTATGTACAACAGACCTAAACCCTGCTCTATCCCTTGCCAATCTCACTGCCTCCAACATGCCTATCCCCTATCACAGATTCAGTCCATCTCATCAAGGGTCTTCCTCTCGTGCTGTCCCTCCACCCTCCCAACTATGACGTCTCTCTCCAAGGACTGGTCCCTCATTGGAACATGTCCAAAGTATGTCAGACGAAGCTTCAGAATCCTTGCCTGCAAGGAGCAGCTTGGCTTAGCCCTCTCCAGGACGAACTTTTTTGTTCTTCTGGCAGTCCATGGTGTATATTCAGTACTCTTCTCCAACACCAAAGCTCAACGGCATCAACTCTCCGTCATCCCCAGTCATTGTCCAGCTCTCTAAAGCATAGCAAGTGATTGCAAAGACAATGGCTTATATCAAGCGCATCTTAGTCTCCAGACTGACATCATTGCTCCTAATACCTTGGAGAGGTCTCTGACAGCAGATTTTCCCAGTGCAATTCATCTTTTAATATCCTGGCTACTGGTACCAAGAATGTTAATTGTGGAGCCAAGCAAACTAAAGCTGTCAAAAATCTCAATCTTTTCACCATCTATCATGGTGTTGCCAATCGGCCCAGTGGTGAGAATCTTTGTTTTCTTGGTGTTGATCTTCAATTCATATTGAAGGCTGCTGCAGCAAGCGCTTCAGGTCCTTCTCAGTTTCAGCAAGCAGGGTTGTGTGTCATCTGCTTAATGCAGCATAGTCCATGATTTAAAAGATGGCACATTAGAGAGTTTTTATGAAGCTTCTGTTTTTCACACTGATGCAGTCTAACCTGACTGCCCTTTTCATGTGGTGTATAATCACTTCTAGAATTTTTTTGCCTTATAGTTGTTGTAGACCCCAGTTACTTCTCTCCTGTGCTGGATATTCTCTCATTGTCTCTCATGGTTTCTTCTTTCTTAATTTCTCTTATTCTTAAGACAATTAGTACTTGAGAAAATATTCCTAGAATGTAGGTTTGTTTTGTTTTGAGTGCTTACGTACCTGAGAATGTCTCTATCCTCATGTTTGACTGATACTTGGGCTGAATATAGACTTTTAGGTTGGAAATATTTATCTTTCACATTTTGAGAGTACTCCTCATCAAGTATATACCAAATTTAGGCTAGGTTAAAGTTCTGATCATACGCTTTACTTTTGTAGGTGTCACAGTTCGAGTGCCTCAAACGACTACGTATGTTGTAAACAATGGACTAACACTGGGATCAGCAGGGCCTCAGCTCACGGTACATCATCGACCACCACAAGTGCATCCTGTGAGTGTCAGTGTTTGCCTTTACAAGATTCTCACCTGTGAAGTTGTCATATATTGGAGCATTTTTTTTTCTTTCTTAAAAAGGAAGTGATAGACCTTTGTTTTCCATCAGGAGTTGAAAAATTGATATTATTGGGTATCTAGTGGTAATGATGATGATTGAACATCATCGAGTTTGCTTGTGTCTTTGTATATACAGAATTACCCCATATTTAGTATAGTGGAAGTGAAATAGATGACTTCTAAATTGTGCTTAAATTGAAATTTGAAAGGATATTTACCATTTTTTCATACTCTGTAACTTAATACTCTTTGCCAACACCACAATTCAAAGACATTAGTCTTTTTTCATTTCCTCCCATTCACATGCATATGAAGTAATTGAAAACGTCATGACTTGAATCAAATGCTTTTATAGACTCAAAGACATTAGTATTGCATGCCAACCACTCTTCATATATGTGATTCTTAACAAAAGAGTGTTTTAAAGTAGTTTGATACTGCTGTCCATTGTTATAGATGAAGCAGCTCATGTACAGTGGAATTAAATAACCATACCTAAGTGGACTATAACCTGTGCATTCCAGCCCAGCGCTGGAACATACACTCTTAACAGCTAATATTCTGATTGTTTCACTACAGTGAAAGGAAAAAAAAACCTTTATTGCCATTAATGAGTACTTCTAAGTTTGAGAATTGCCCTTTTTGATTGAAAAGAATATTTTGTTAGCTGAGTGTTTACTCAGTGTACCCAGTGTTCGATCCAACCTAATTTTTAAAAAGCTTAACATTAAAAAAAAAAATAAAAAAAATAAAAAAAAACCTTAACATTATTTAAAAACATTTATTTCCGAATAGTTTTACTGTGCTTCCTCTGACCTGATTAAGATAAATGGCAAATAATCATTACTGTTATTTATAACTAGAAAATAATTCTTTTAAAAAAAATACAAATTTATGTGTTTTAATTTAAAATATAATCAAAGTAGTTTTAAAAACGGAAATGTAATTCTCAATTATAATGAGCTGTATTGCTACGTATATACTTTAAAAATGTAGCATTATGCTAAAATGAGGCTTTATAGCTTAGGGAATTAAATAATAAATTACTTTTTAAGATAATTAGTTCAGTGCCAAGATGAATTTATATTCGCAAAAGCTTTTATTTCTTAAGAAAATTCTTCAAGTCTAGGCATCTAGAGTAGGAGTAACCAGCACCGATGTGTGGGACATAATTGTTTGAAAAATCACCAAATGAAAATTATATAATTTTATAAGATCAGATGGCATGTATTAGAATCCTTGATATAATATTCTCTATGTATGATTTTTAAGGGTATTTTCCTAGTATCCCAAAACGTTTTTTCTGTGATAATTTAAATTAGCATGACTTTTCTTTTATTAGGAGCCCTCACGTCCTGTGCACCCTGCACCCTTACCAGAAGCCCCACAACCCCAGCGTCTACCCCCAGAAGCTGCCAGCACATCTCTGCCTCAGAAGCCGCACTTGAAGTTAGCACGAGTTCAGAGTCAAAATGGCATTGTACTGTCATGGAGTGTTCTGGAGGTAGATCGAAGCTGTGCCACTGTTGATAGCTACCATCTCTATGCTTATCATGAGGAACCTAGTGCCACTGTGCCCTCTCAATGGAAGAAGATTGGGGAAGTAAAAGCACTTCCTTTGCCCATGGCATGCACTCTCACTCAGTTTGTATCTGGCAGCAAGTACTACTTTGCAGTACGAGCAAAGGATATTTATGGACGATTTGGACCTTTCTGTGATCCTCAATCAACAGATGTGATCTCTTCTTCCCAGAACAGTTAAACCTTGGAGCCTTTATCTCTGTTCCTCTTTCAGAACTTGTACTTTTTGGTCTTGTTTTTAATCTTGTGCATGATGATACCCATTGTAAAATCAACATTCTGCAAGATTTCTTGGACATTTGTGTCTATACACTACATTTGTTTATAACCAAAAGTAAAATAAACTCAGCCTATAAAGCAAGAATTTATTTTCCTGAACAACTCTAACTTCAGGGTTTTTCAAATGTAAATGTGCACCTTGCTTTTAGTTTTGAGGCTGGGGAATATTTGTGGGCACTTGGGTGTTGGTTTTTCTTTCTTTGTTTACATGTTTCTTGCAGTGAGATCGCTTACTTTCATTCTCAGATTTACCTCTTCCATTGAAGTAGAGCAAAGGATCTCTGAGGTATGTAACTGGCATGATACGATTCTGCTTGTTAGAAATAGGTAGGGTCATAGTTAAGGATTTAAACTTAATCTGAACAAAGCCCAGAGAACTAAATAAAAGAAAAATGAATAACTAATTACTAATTTGAGCACAAGAAAGGATATACTCATCTTTATTTTGTGTCTCCTCAATTATTAAGTAAAAAATATCTGTAATGGCCCCTTTTTCTTATCTGCTATTTTAAATTTACTTTGTGCCTTCACTACAGAAATAAACATGAGCATATGACCATGTTTATGCTTCCCTTTCAGCCTTTCATCCTGTTTGTCCATTGTCTCCAGTAAATATTCCTTTAGCCCTTCAAGTAATTTCTAAACCAAAGCTTTTATTTTCTCACCTATGGATTCACTACATTTAACTTTAAAATTTTTACTTGTTCTTTTCTAAGTATATATATCGTTGCTTTTGGAGAGGATCATTATTTAAATTGAATCTATGGAAAGTGGACCAAGAGAAAACAAGATTATGTAAGAAAAGGTTCTTTCAATCATGTTTTATTGTCCACATTGTACAGTGTGCTCAAGATTATGAAAGAAATTGTAATTCACTTTATCACCAAAACCTAGTGTTCTTTCAAAGGAAGTAACTGGTAAAATTTACAGAAATACAGTAAGCTAAAATATCAAGTGAGATCTCAATTTGTTTTTTATTCCTTTATCAGTCTTCCTCTTTTAACCTTTAAATTTTATTTCTGTGGTGCCAAGTTGAGTCTCATTTATGCTATGTCAGCTTTGAATAGAAGTTAAAGTATTCCCTTTGAGAGTCATTTTATGTGACATATATATATATTTTCTGTGTAACTCCATTCCTCTTCAAAGTTAATATAATTCTGCTTATGGATTTTGACAGAAGTGCGAGCTATACTGGCATCAGCTCAGTGTTTGAAGTGTGAGTGTAGGTCAGGAAGGCTGGGGTAACTTTGAGGATGATGAAGATGTGATTGGAAATGTTTCTAAAAGAAGAAAGTTTGTAAAAGTACTTTTCAAGTCATTTGACTCTTAAAATAATTTGACTTCATATTCTTACCTTCTCAAAATACCCATTTTTATGCTTTGTTTGTATTTTTCCTAGTTAAAGGAGGAAGCTAGCTATCCCTCTTATTTATTTGTAGCTTTAATAGTTTTTTAATAGATGCTATTCTCCTCATCCTAAAGTTCTTTTTTAGGGAAAAAACTCATTTTCACAAGTCATATACTATCATCTTAGTTGTGACATTTGATGTTGAAGAAAGCCTACAGATTGCCAAACTGTAAATCTCTGAAACCTTCCTTTCACTTTCAAAAAATGAGGCCATAATGAGAATTAGAATTTTCATGACTTAAATTTACAAGGTAACTATGTAGATGTTACTTATTTTAGGATTCATGTTGATAATGATGACACAGGAGTTAACAGTGACTTAACAATAGACTTACTAAAAATGGAGACATTAATGATCTAGATGTATATGTAAATGTATGTCTGTATCTGCATGTGTGTACATTCTTTCTTAAAGTGCTTTTAATGTTGATTATCTGCTCATAATGATTCCTGTGTACAGAATTAGAAAGCCTATGTTCAAAAATGTTCAGTATTGGCCTGTTTTATGGCCATGTGAGAACCATTTGTTTACCTAGCCTAGAAGACATTCCTTTGATGAAGCTTATATTAATCTTTTTTGTTTGGGATTTAAAAAAAAAAACACAAAACAATTTTTGTAGCATTATGTAATCAAGTAAGAAGGCCCAGTATAATGAAAAGATTTCATCATTTTAGTCTATGTTGTATGTTTTTTTATCAAAAAGACAAAAATCTCTCAACTTGAATAACCTGAAAATTGCTTTACATTTACAAGATAAATAACTTAAAAATATTTTATTCCAGACAGTGGAAGGAAGGTTAAAAGAGGAAATAGTGATAGTTTAAGAAAAGAGAATATATGGCTCCTCAAATAAGCCAGCCTCTAAAAGCGATTTATAGGCAACAATTTAGTGGAATATACAAAACATTGCTAGGCTAGATTTTAGGCAGATTTAATGTTTGAATGCTGGCTTTTTCAGTTGTTTCTTTTGGAGGAGAGAGTGGAGTTCACAGCTAAAAACAGTTACTTCAACCCCTGCTCCCCCCTCCCCCAGCAGCTCACACTCCATGGTACCTTGTGTCTTGCATGGTACCTTTTCACAAAGTGTTACAAATAAGCTCAGTTATCCGATTTGGGGAATGCAAATTTCCTACATTTTTAGCCTGACAGTACATGTGTAAGTATTGCCTTATTGGAAATCTTAGAAATATATGTAGTTCAGCCAGAAATGTAGGGTGTTTATATGGCATTTAAAGGTGATGGTAATGTTCGTTATTCTCTCTACTTTGCACTGTCAGAGTAATGTTCACCCTGTTTTAAGTGTGACTAAACTTCTTTGTAAAATTATGTTATTGCCAGTAAATTTATAAACTGCATTCAAATGAACATCTTAACATTTAACTTTGTATCTCTCTTTCTCTGGACTCTTAAAAATATGCAGAATACTGTGTACTACTACACATTTAGTAGAGAAATGGAAGGAAAGTGGAGCTTTCCTCTTTAAAAAGTGAATTACTTAGAGACCATTTGCTTCACAGAGAAGTGTTCCCGCCTCATACCACCCCACTCCCTCTTCCATTGCCAGATAATATGTGGGGGGGGAAATAACCAAAAGCAAGGAGCTTAGAACCTTACTTTGGGTGCTTATGTCTGCAGAACTCCTTAGTCAAACTGATGGCACCATCCAATTCTCTTTACTGTATTGGATACAGTAAGATTTTTTTATTTTGGATGCGTGCTCCTTAGCTTTAAAATATTTCCTCAGTGGTCATTTATGCAGCAAGGTTAGTGTTACTATTGCATGGTATGCATATATCTTCCATAAGTTTCCCAGTACTGTACAAGATCAACAAAGCAATGCCTATGGTATCTTCATTTTTCACTTTATATACTGTGATCTTAGCACAGTGGAGTACTATAAAGGCCTTCCAAGTGTTCTCCCCAACTTTCCTTCTTGGACTATTTTAATGTCCTGTGATTATTTTTCTTAGTTTTATCACTGACTTGTCATTAGCCTTTTTTATTCTGATTTTCTAGTACAACCATGCCCCAGTATTAGATCATTGCAAAGGACTTTATAAAATCAGTGTATGATTTCCCTTCCTTACTATTTACTGGGCAAATTATGGTGGGCCCTCTCCCCTCCCGCTTTGGACAAAAAGTAATTCGCAGCAGCTACTAAGTATGGCAGACATACCTGCTTTCTGAAACTCATGTGTCCCCTTAAGCCAACCAAGGGGATGAAAAGGACAATGCAAAACACATATTTTTGTCTTCTCATATTTAGAATTTTTATTTTATCTTGTTGCTTTTAAAATTATTTTCTTCATTTCCTATTTGTAGAGTTCATTGAGTATCCATTTATATTTAAGTATTTGTCTTTTTTTAAGTTTGTAAATAAAGTAACTGGGCAATATTTTATTAACCATGTCAAAATTAAATATAAAAATAAATCCTTTGTAGGGAATTTTCATCCTGACTTTTCTTTATTGCAGCTGAAAGTGTACATAAGACAATGTAAGACCTTCATGATGTCTAATAGCAACTGGGCAGATTGCCCTATTTTTATTAGACTTTGAAGGTTTTTGTGTATTTGTTTTTCTTTTTTAAATGTACAGTAGAGTGGTGTCTGTATAAGTGTTAACTGTAGTGGGGTTTTGTCCAGCAAGCCTGAAATTTATACTTTGAAATAAACTACTGGGTTTTTAACATCCTGAGTATTGTTTGCTTCATTCTGATTGTTCACAAGCATTGTGTTTGGAAGTTTGCTTTTGAAACTTGCTCACTTTGTTAAAAATCAGCTGACTACTAGGTAGAAGGTTGGCAGTTCAGACATACCCAGAGACACCTTGGAATACAGGCCTGACCTGCTTCAGAAAATTCACAGCCTTGGAAAATACAGAGTAGCCCTACTTGGTATACATGGAGTCCACATGCCTCCCAAGAGATAGTCCATAGGATGGCAAAGTTCAAATCCACCAGCAGTTCCAGGAGAAAGATGTGTAGTCTCCTCTGCAGCTTACAACTTCAGAAGCCCAGGGATGATCCACTATGAGGTGGCCCACAGTTGATAGCAATGAGAAAAGCAATGATTCTCTAGCTTTCAAAGAAAAGTTGCTAGGCAGAGTTGCTGCTCAATTGGATAGATTTCTTTTAATAGAACTCTTTAGTCCCAATTGTATCACACAGTCTTTTACTGTATTGGGTGGTAACTTTTGTGCTTTTTGTTACATTGTGCACCTATCCTATACCACAGAAACTCTCAATTGATTCCAGCTAATCAGAAAAATATACTAGCTGGATTTCTACTCAAGATTCCTCAGAAAATAACTTCATCCCTTAGGGTTTGTTTGTTTGTTGAGCATATCTCACCAGAGAAAAGGGGAAGAGCATGGAGGAATACAGATTATTTTATGTGCCAATTCTAAAAATGGCACTTTCCTCATCTCTAATCCCACTTGGCTAGAACTCAGTAGTAGCATGGCAGCACTACCCAAGGGAACCCGATGGTTGTGGTGTAATTGTGTGTCTAGGCATAAAAGTAGAATAAAAGTGGTGAGCCTAGAAGCAGTTTTGCCATGCTCTCTTGTGATAGATAATCTTGTGTGCTAAAGACTGGTATTGTCAGATTTACTTTTATAGTGTTCCTATAGGAGAAAATGTTTGCCATTAAAATGAACAGTGTAAAATGAAAGCAAACTATGAATTGAATATATTTTATTAAGATTCATTCTGAAGGGAAAAACATAGCTAAAATAATGCCTTTATTTTTCAAACCACTTTCTCTTTCTTCATCTCCCTCTATTTTCTGTCAAAATTGGTTGCATGGTGATAAAATCAAAATTGTAGGCCTCTGGCATTCCCTGATGGAGAGTTTTGTTGAAACGAGTCCAGTGAAAAACAGGGAGGCCATCTTGTACTGTGGGGCCATTAATGGCAAAGGCTGTGTACTGTGATGCTAGATGCTTATCTGCCACCTGGGAGGAGAGGAAGGAGACATTTCAGAAAGAAAAACTTAACTGTTAAATTCAGAGTGCTTTTCTGTTTCTTCAAAATGATGATATTAATCCCTTCTAAAACAAAATTTTCTTACAAGATTCCACATACCTATAAAACACTCATCTGTATCCACTTCATGTTCACATATGAATGGATATTTTGTCCCCAACATATTTCATGTAGCATTTTTCACCATGGGTGTGTTAATCAAACAGATTTAAAAAAAAAAACAAACTTTTCTCTATTTCAGCATAGTCTTTAACAGGATTTTTTTATTCTCCATCTTAATATTGGATTTGGCCTCGTATTTAAAAAGACTTTTGGCTGCTGGGAAGATAAGCGGAATGGCTGGATTCTGCTAAGGTGTGTTTTCTGGTTTGGGGTTGTGTCTAGGGTGTGGCTGTTGTTCACCATAGGGTAATGAGCTGATTGGATTTGGCCTCATATTTAGAAAAGGCTTTTGGGCCCTCGGGCCTGCTTTTTGTGGATTTCTCAAATAAAACAGGCTTGGAAGCAGGAGTGGCATCCACTTCTGAAAAACTTGCCTCTGGAAATTCTATGAACTTGAAGGTGAAAGTTTTGTGTTCAAGACTTGTTCATAGAGTTGCTGTCGGTCATCTAAGACTCAATGGCACTTAACAACAACAACAACATTGTATAAATTTTCTAAGCTTTTTCTCCCAAAGAAATAAACATTTCAGCATTTGATTGACTAATCAAATGCCACCAGCTCTGGTGGCACACTGGTGGCTTAGTGGTGGGGAGTTTTGCTGCTAATGTAACAGCTTCATCTGCGGTTTGAATCCACCACTGACGGCTCCTTGAAAAAAGATGGGCCATCTCCTCCCAATAGACTTTACAGCCTCGTGAAACCAGAGAGTTGCTCTGAGTTCAAATTGACTCAGTGGCAGTGACTGAGATTTTCTATAGAAGTACAATAGGATTTAAAAGAAAACACAAGCACAATAAAAATATGGAGGAAAGAATCTTCCACAAGCCCAGAGGCAGTAGTAATAACTAAACAATGGCAATTTCGTAGACTTCTGGGTACGTCTAGACTTCTTTTCCTAGACTTCACCATCTCATATGCCTTAGTAATTTCTTGTTCCTCTTTTCTACTCAGCAAATACAAACTACAGCCTACATTTCTGATGTGAAGAAAACCTCATCCACCCATGTAACATACATTAATCTGTTCCCAGGTAGAGGCAAACATTGACAAAGTGAAACAACCCACTTTATTATCTGGTTTAGGATATTTCAGATAACAAAGATGAGCCTTAACCTCCATTCTGAGTGGCAGGGTTTGCAGGGTGAGGCATAATTCAGGAGGCTCTTCAGAGTTCCATCGGTCCATTTTTCTTTGGTGTATGTGCCCCTAAGCAATCACAAGTGTCTGTAGTGCTGAGAAACACTCCAAGAGAGTGGCATCCCCTTCTTCAGTGACAAGCAGTGACATGAGGACCAGCAGCACCTGTGGTGCAACTGAAGGAATGATGCTGGGATTATGAGGGTTGATGGTTCCAAAGAAATGGGTGTATACACAATTCTGACCTAAAATACTCCCATCGTGGAGTTCTGAATGCTGAGGCAGAGGTTTCAAGGGATGCCTCCCAGAAAGCAGCCATTACAGGAATCCATATGAACAGATTCCAGGCTGGATTCTGCAAAGGTCTATCTTCTAGTTTGGGGTTGAGACTAGGGTGTGGCTGTTGTTCACAATGGGGTGTGAGCTGATTGCATTTGGTCTCAAAAAAGCTTTTGGGCCCTCGGGCCTATGGCCCTCCAGTCTGGTTTTTGTGGGAATCTCCCAAATAAAACAGGCTTGGAAGCCGGAGTGGCATCCACTCCAAAAAAAAGCTTGCCTCTGGAAACTCTATGAACTTGGAGAAAAGGTGAAAGTTTTGTGTTCAAAACTTTTGTTCATAGGGTCTCTATGGGTCATCTACGACTCTATAGCACTTAACAACAACTTATGAATGGATATGTTAAATTAACAACATAGTTGAAATGTGAGGTCTGTAGTTAGATTATGCTTGTAAAAATTTCTAGCTTAAAGACTTACCTATAAACTAATCAAACCTTCACTCAGATTTCTTATATAAAAAGAGCCCTAAGAACTCTTAGAGTGGTTGTGGAGATAAGGGAGAGAAAATTCTCAGAGTAATGCATAAAATATTATTTAAAAAATAGTAATAGTCTTTAAAGTACACTATATTTTAAATTAAAAAATGAATCAGTAGCAGCAGACCTTGACCTTACATGAGGGAAATGCTTTATGATTTTTCTCCACTACCGCAACTGTAAGAGATTGTGTTTTAAAAGTAGCCTTCAATAGAACCTTTTTTTTTTT